ATTTCTAAGATGATAATAATGAAAGAGAAATGTTCAAGGAACAAAAAAAATAAATAGATAAAGTTAATAATCAAGCAGAAAACGGGCTGAGAAATCAAGCCCCAAAGATTAAGTGGCCCAACCGTTAACAGCAACTTTGGCCCTAAACAATGGAAGTCCCTTCTCTTTTTGGCCATAATAATGAAAGTCCTTTAGTTAATTATTTCCTTTCCTTTTCCATTTTCTTTTAATATATGATCGGATATGAATGGAGGAAATGGTTGATCTCCTTTCTAAATAACTTTACATTTTCATGCGAAAATATAAAATGCTTAACGTATGCCAACCAGGTCATAATTAACGGCAGATGTAGCACAATTATCTAAACTTCACAACACATAATTAGGAAATGTGTATTTTGATTATTGTGAGTAATATTAAAGATTATTTATAAGCTTAACGACTAAAATTTTAACTTTTTAACATCCTTACACACATTTTTTATTTATTTAAATCTCACAACATGTAATTGAGAAAATCTTAGTGTTAGATAATGTTTCAGATTTTTTTTTTTTTTTGTGAAAAGCACAAAAATTTTATTATATGAGTGTAAAAGGTACTGAAATCTATATGCAATCAATTTCTGAACATTATATAGTTATGGTATTGTCATAACTTAAATTTTTACCTAAACTTGTATAATGAATAAAATTAAAAGTTTTAGTCTAAAAAAAATAAAATATAATAATAATAATAATAATAATAAATATTTTAAATTAGCTTTGTTTTCTTGTTTCAGGACTCAACTGTGAAAAAAGGGAAAAGCTTGGCCAAATTAGACAAAAGAAAATGCTGAAATTGGACTTGAGCGCATGAGTAATCAAGATAAAGGATCAAATGTCAAAATTTAGAAAGAGTTGCTAATTTGGGCCCAAAAATTAAATCCAAATAGAAACCCGTTTCAGCTAAGTCCAAAATTAGTCCATTTCCGCCCATTCACCAAATTGACCCAGGCCCCTTTTATTCTGAAAAACCCTAGCCCCAAATTGGGACAAGAACGCAGAAATTCCTCCCCTTCCTGGAACCCGTTCTGCTTCTTCTCTGCTCATCCGTTCCTTATGCTCCACGAGCTCCGTTCTTGAGCAGATAGCACCACATCCAGCAAAGAAGAGGAAACTTCGCGGAAAGGGCAGGGTAGGCTCGTCCAAAGCGGCATAAATAGGCGAAAACCTTAGATTTTGGGGGAGAGATCGCCGACAAAAAAAAAAACCGAAAAAGAGAGGTAAGATCTGGGATTTTTTGAGAGAGTCGACATCAACTGGAAAAAAAAAAAGAAAAAAAAAAGGGAAGAACTTTTTATTTGGAGGGGTTTTGAGGACAGTTGTTTTGGGGGAAGATTTTTTGTGGTTCTGATTCTCGGTTTCAGAAGAAAAAATTTTCTGGTTTCAGAGTTTTTTCCGGGAGTAAGCTTTTGGTCAGTAGCTTGTGATTCTTGCTGGAGTTTTTCCTCGGCGAAGGAGTGCGGTTCGGACAAGGACTCTGGTGCTGGAATTAGGAACTGATTTTTGCCTTAGGTGACCTTCTGAACAGAGGGGTTTTTGGAGAGGTAGTGAGAGAGATGAAAGGAGCTAATCCCGCGGGTGGGATCCCTCCGATCGGATGCGGATCTGTCCTCTCCGAAAATTTCCGCCATGGGTGCTTTACTTTTGGTTTTCTCTGTAAATACTTTGATGCTCTGTGGTTTAAGTTGTATGAATTTGCTGGAAAATGAATGAGAACCAAGCATTTTACCTTCTTGTTTTCTGTTTGGCTTTATTGGATGTTTTGAATCTGCATCTTCATTGAAGTTTGTTTAGTTTTCTTTTATGAAAATCAGAATTGGCTGAACATAACCCCTAAATTTCCTTTTATTTGTGTTTGGTTTTGATCCATTTTTGTTCCTTTTGATGGATAGATCGTGTTTATGAGTCGGGTCGACCCGACCCAATAGGTTTAAGGATAAAAAAGCAAAAAAATAATAATAAAATGATTGTGGTGATTAGTTTAGTACTAAAATTTAGGGAAAATGGGCTTTCATTTTTAGGATGAAATCTTCTTTATTGGTAAGCACTAATTTAATAATTTTTTATGTATATTATCTTAAAAAAAGGTTAAAAGATAGAATAAATTTTTGTGTAATAGAATAATTAATTAAAATAAATAAATAATAAAAAAGTTAAAATAAAAATTTATTTATTTAAAAAAAATAAAAAATAACAATTAATTTAAAACAAATTTAACTCAAATA